TTCATATGAGGATGATTTAAAATTTTTTGAAATATATTTATGCCCTCTACCTGAAACAAATATAGTTATGGCTTTTACTAATGCCAGACAATACATTTTATTGCTTTTCTAAACATGTTCTGTTTCTTGGACAGAATCTGTCGCTTAAATGTACAAATTCATAACTAATTATGCAAAACTGATTTTGACTTGATTCTTTGCTCATTTCAAATGACGAGCCCTCTTGATGAGAAAAATAATAAAAAGGACTTTAATTGGACCAACTGATACATTTAATACATTTACTTAAATTGCTTTGTTCTCAAGACGGATTCTAACCCTTCACTTAGAAAATTAATAACTTAAGCTACAGAGCCCCAATTGATTCAGTTTTAAACTTTCTGAAAATATTAGGATGTCTATATTATGAATACAAAATTTTCAGGTCAAAAGAGTCCATTTAGTGTAAACATTTTAATGAAACTGTAATAGACCAGTATGATACTTACATGCTTAAAATCATAGCTCCAGGAAATTTCTATAGCTTCAACTCATGCTTTATCAGTTTAGAAATATAAAGGATGCATAGTATTATTCTTAAGTGAATTTATACAACTCACGTAAATTTACATGTGATTTAAAACATAAGTCTCCAACTCTGCAATTTAGTGCCACTTACTTTATTCTTTGAATTCTTCTCCCTTCTTGTTCTTGTTAGATTTCCGCCTAACATGGTTAGTAATTGGGAGTAAGACATTAAGTCTCGACAGCAACATAACCATTCCACATAGAACATGACTAACAATTATGGCATGATATACATATCATGGCACCATGGGAGAACTTCACATAAAGCCTTTAGAAACTCTCATAACATGACATGAAAATTTCACATAAACCATTCCATAACAAGGATAGGATCAGATGAAAGAAAAAGGTTAAGTTGCTGCCTTCCAACCCTTGCTTTCCATTCCTTACCATCTTTGAGGTGTACTTCACCAAACCCCTAAATCATCTTCCTTTGTAACCAAAGGCCGTGGAAACAACAGTTATTCTCAACTTGTTCTAACTTGTTTTCTTTGGCCTCAAATTTCACTTGGTTATCCTTAAGCATTAACTTCACTCACATAGTCCTTTCCCACGTGATTTTTCATGACGGATTCAATGGTGATATCCATCTCATGAAAATCCAACTCCTCCAAACATACATGCTCTTGACAGAACAAAAGGGTTCTTAAACCCAAACTGAACTCCTTTTATTTATACCTCAAACCCTTGTTTTTCACCCTTCAGAATCAAATCCTAACATCATGAGAACATCTATATAACATTAATTTAATCCCATGAATACGAGCTTGCCATATCAGGGCTGCCAATCACTCTTCAATATTGTAAGCTACTCTGAATGAAAACCATGACAATAGGAAGTTAACTCTTACCTCTCCTCCTTAGTGCTTGATTCTAGAACTTTTTTTTTTCTTGATCAAGCTTGCTGTCTCCAGAACTCTTACTTGAAAAATCTAAAACCAATTGAATAAAGCTTTTGATGCAAGGAACAATTTTTGTGAAGAGTGTTTTGGAATTAGATGTGGTTTAGTAGGAGATTTATCTTGGTTTTTGTTTCTCTCTCCCTTTTAACCATTTTTGCATGCTCTCTCTCTCTCTCTCTTGCTGCAAGACCACCGAAAATTAGGCTGAAGGAATAAGGAGCTATGGTCAAACTTTAAAAATTAAACCAAGTTTAATAATGTTTCAATTCCACTAATTCTAACAAACCATTTTCCCTTTTAATTTGGACCAAGTATAAGTTAGAATTTTTAAATACTTGCTGCCAGTCCAAGGACGGTACAATCTCTTAAATTGCGCTTGGAATTATTTCATATGGTTTTTAATTTATAATGGGTAGAAGTTTTTGTGATTTTCTTGACCTAATTGGATAAAAATTCCAAGATGAAATCTTTCAACAATTACTAACCAGTGAAAAAATGATGTTTTTCTTCTAAATATTCATCTTCCTTCAAATACTTCAAATAATATTTTTCCTTCGATTCTTTCTAAATTTTGCATAATTTTTCTGTAATTACACTTAAATACCCAAAACTTTTAGAAATTAACTTTAATTATATCCATGATGTGTCTGTTAACATGGATGAGTTTTTAATTTTTATTTCCAGTATGCGGACTTTTACCAATATACTAAAACAGACCTTTCTTGTTCCTGTTTTTAATTTTGCTATCACATTTCACGTCTTCCAAATGCATTTTAAATATGTATATACTTTGTCACTTGTTTTTCTAGAAATATATTTATTTTGTGTCAATAAAATATATTTAATTTAACAAAAAAATCTCAGATACATAATAAAATAAAATAAAATGGTGATAGTATTATTTGCATATATTGCTTGATGTGAGAAATAATATAAATTTAATAAATATAATTGCAATTATATCATAACAAGATTCACATTTTATTATTTATCATTACTGCTAATCTTATACAATAATTATTGTAAAAAAAGCTTAAATTATTTAAAAAGTAAATCTTCTAAGCAAAGCACTTCGATGTAAGCTCACATTTCCCATGTGACATCTTGTAGTCCATTAGTCTTTGCCTCACTTCAAGTTCATATATAATCATGTATTTATTTCATATTTTCCCAAGAACTGTATATATATTATTTCATTAGTTTATTTTGTTTCTTAAAAATTCTAGCAAATCAATTAAATAGACAAAAAATATATAATCATTAAACCCATCCATTTTATACAGGCTAGTTCAACCATATTTTGGGCTCAAAAATTACAACTATTACCCCATCAAAACAAGGTCTCTCTTTTTTTTTTAATGAAAAAACAAAGACTTTTTTGACAATGTTCAAAACCAAGTTAGACACAACAAACCTACATCTATCATAACCTATCCTATAACAGAAGACAAAACAAACACAAAAATCTGTGAAATTAATAAAATAGTCCGTAATGACTAACGATATATTTGCAATACTTTGCAAATAAATAAAATGTATCATTTTAATTCATTTAGGTTTAGAGTAGGACTGCGCTGCATGTTTAATTTTAAAATATGCTATGTGAAATTAAAGAATGCTTTTCAAATTAAAGTTTTTTCATATAATAATTAATGAATAAATATTAATTTGAAATTAAAAATTTGGCAGACAAGAAATAGGATAAATACTGAAGAAGTTAAGTAAATAAAGAATGACGAGGAGAGAGTGAAATATAAAATTTAAAATAAATAGGAGAAAAAATAAAAAAAAAATTATATCATTTTATAAATTTAGTTGTGGGCAACAAAGTTTCAGGATTCACTTCAACATCAGCGTCCAACTTATCTTTACTTGAGTTATTGAATTTTTCATATAGCAATTTGTCAGGTGTGTTTTAGATTATTTTTAATATACATAATTGTCTTTGTTCTATGTACTAGTCTATTTGGTTTGCTGGATTTAATCCTTCAAGGATCATGTAGAGGAAGATAAACCTGGGTCATTTGTCTAGATCGTTTTCTTCTGTTTTTATTTCGGTATTTTTATGCGTGTTCTTTGTCTTGGAAACACTTTTTTGTTTTTTAAGAAAACAATTATCATCAAATTTTTTTGCTATAATTGTTAATCCAAATGGATCTAGAGGCTCATCAATCTTTCAAAGTAATTGTAATAATGTTAAAAAGCATTGTAAGAGCTTCTAATTACAAGCTCACTACTCTAATGTAAAAATAATAATAATCGAAATTCTATGATATAGCGTGTCATGAAAAAAAGAAATAGATATAGCAAAAACCAATTTATGGTTAATGAACCCCTCCCCTAATTTTATGATTTGAAGGAAATTTTGTGTATCCTTTACATAGCTTTGCGTAGTTGAACGTTATTTTATAGTGCCTCCAAAAGTTTCAACTATAAAGATATTGTCACCATCAAATAAATTAAATATTTTACATTTTTAAGTGAAATTCCTTCATTTTTATGGAACATGCCCTCTTTAATAGTGGTTGTCCTTGGAATGAATAATTTAAATGATACTTTGCTAGAAGAAATGTGTCATCAACTCCCTTTGCTGGAATCATTTGATGTTGATAATAGTTATTTAAAGGGAAGCATATCAAAATCAATATTTAATTGCACATCTTTGAAACACGCACGAATTTATTTATGTATTTTTTTCCTTTAAAAATTTTCCTCTAAAATGAGATTTTGTTTTTCATCATTTCATTTCATTCATGCATATTATTCATTCATACAATGGGACTTATTTATAGCTAGTGATTATTCTTTAAAAAAAAAAGAAAGAGTTAGTGATTACAATCCAAAAATAACAGAGAAAGCTAAAATCCTGAATGAATGGAACCACATGATGTTTATAAAAAAATTACAAATTATAATATATAAATTAAATAAAAAAAATTAAATGAAACACAAAAAACGCTAGTGCAGTCATATGTGTGCTCTAAGTCATAAACGAAAACATGATATGTTTTCAGCACTCAAACAAATAATTAAATTACATCATTTAAATTCATTTGGGTTTAAATCAAATAACTATTTCCAAATTATATTTTTTCATATTATAATCTTTGAATAATTATTTAACTTGAAATTAAAAGATCAATGCAAAATCAATAGGAGGGAGAATGTATACAAAAAAAATATAAAAACATGTGGACTTGTTGTATTTGATGTGCAACCATATGTTTTTCTTTCTGTTGAGACAAAAAAAAAAAAAATCCTCTTTCTCGCTTTCGCTATTATAAGAACAACTTTTTACACCCGTTAAAATTAGCATTTTAACAAGTGGCGTAGAAAGTGGAGGAGACAACTTTCTATATCAGTGTTGAAATAACAGGTGTAAATGTCTACTTTTTTATACTGGTTATATAAAGAACATAGAAAATTCACTTTCTATATTGGTTGTCTAGACAGTAGGTGCAGAAAATGTTTTTCTTAAAAAAAAAAAAAAACACTTTCTATATTGTTAAACTTCAATATTTGTGTTTCTAGGTTTTATACCAAAGGAAATAGGAAATCTTGTTAAACCTGAAGTCTTAGATTTGAGATCAAATCACTTGAGTGGATCAATTACTTTCAATGGGACGTCGCTGGCATATGTTCTCCTTGAAGACAACTTTACAGGTATGCTTATTCTTTATTGTTTGCAAAAAATTTAATTTGATGCTTTAACAAACTTTTCATTTATTATTTGCGCTTTTTCTATATTGTTTGTAAAAATTTTGACTAAAAAATGGAAGATTTTGAAGCAATCTGTATATTAATGAAAGCAATAGTGTACATATATACATGCATGCACGTATCGTGATCCCTGTGATGAAGCCAAACTAATAAATGACAATGAATAATATTCTATTTCGCCTATAATTCCTCCTACGAATGCGGTGACAGCATATTTACAGGATAATCAAATCTTGACTAATCCTAACACTCCCCCTCAAGTTGGAGCGTGTAGGTTGGTAACGCCCAACTTGCACATTAAAGTTCTCAGTTTTTCTCTTCCGAGTGCCTTTGTGAATACGTCAGCCAATTGATTCTTTGTCCAGATCTTTCATGGCTCTATTTCTCCTGTTTGAACTCTTTCTCTCACAAAGTAACAATCCATCTCCACATGCTTCGTTTGCTTGTTAAAGACTGGATTCATGGCTATATGGAGAGTTGCTTGGTTGTCACAGTAAAGTGGAGTGGCTTTGGCTTGTGGTGCTTGTAACTCCTTCATCAACCACCTTAACCATATTAGCTCACTTACTGTTGAAGCTATTGCTCGATACTCAGCTTCTGTTGATGACCTAGCAACTACACTTTGCTTCTTTGACCTCCAAGATATTGGCGAATCACCAACTTTTACTAGGTAACCTGTGCATGATCATCAAGTTAAGGGACAACCAGCCCAATTGGCATCACAGTAGGCTTCAAGCTATATTGACCCCTCTGCTAAGAGTAGTATTCCTTGTCTTAGTGTGTTTTTGAGGTAGCGTAAGATTCTTTTAGTTGCTGTCATGTGTGTGCGTTTTAGAAAAGCTACAAATTGATTGAGTAAGTTCACGACATGCGCAATGTCACATCTCGTTATTATTAGACACTGACGTTTTCCTAGCATCCTTCTATATCTCATTGGTTCTACATATGGCTCACTTTCATCTTCTTGTAACTTACAATGTTGCTCTATTGGAAACTCACTCGGTCTGCAATTCTCCATTCGTGCATCTTTTAGAATGTCCAGATTATACTTTCGCTGAGTCAAAACAATGCCATGTGTTAAACATGCTACTTCAATCTCAAGAAAATACTTGACTCTACCAATGTCCTTTATGCTAAACTTTCTAATCAGATGAGCCTTAGTCTCTTGCATCTTGGTCAAGTCATCTCCCACCAACAATATATCATCGACATAAACAAGATAGGCCACATATGAAGATTGAGTTTGAAATATATACAATGAGTGATCCACTTTGCTTTGTGAGAAGCTGGCATCTCTTAAGGCTTGAGTCAGTTTTTAATGCTAGTTACACGATGCTTGTTTCAACCTATACAGTGATTTCTTAAGTTTGCATACATGTGTCTCCCCCTCACGAGCGAACCCTTGAGGAATACGTATGTCAATTTCTTCATCCAAGTCCTCGTGAAGGAATGCATTATTGACATCAAGTTGATGAATGTGCAAATTGTAACCATCTTAGCCACCAGAGCAAAAGTGTCATGAAAATATTCCCCTTCAATCTGAGTGAACCCATGAGCTACCAAACAAGCTTTGTGACTAGCGACGGCATCATTGGGTTGAAACTTAGTTTTGTAAACCCATTTGGAGTCGATAACATGTTTCCCTCGAGGTAGTGGGATGAAAGACCAAGTCTGATTAGCTTCAAGGGCAGAAATCTCTCGTTTCATGGTATCACGTTAGTGTGCATGTTGGTGAGCTTGAAAAAATGTCTTAGGCTCATCTGTGGAACTGATGGTCGAAAGGAAAGCCTAGTGTGAACTGGAAAACTGGTCATACGAGATATAATGTGTCACACCCCGACAATAGAACATGTTTGGCATAGAATATAGAGATAATACCCATATCCTAAAAATCTTTACTTAAGAAAACTCTAATTTATAAGCCATGAAGACCTTTGATAATAAATTAAGCCATCCTCAATACAAAGCCATACGAACAAAAGATTTAATATTTTACAAAACAGTAGTAGCAGCAAGAAATTTTCTTCCGATCAGTAAATATCAAAGTATAAATCATAAGAATGAGGACCCTAACTATAGCTTATGTGGAGCACCTGACATAAGAAATTTACTTTAAAGAAGTTTGATTTCAACTTTTCATCTCATCTGAATATTACCGCCCCTCAAGGATTAGCGGAAGGCACAACATCAGCTAACGTATCTGAGACCAAAATAATAATTTTCAGTGAATAACGTCCCAACAATAAATCATAGAACATGAATAAAAAGGAAAGTTTGAAGTAATTACATAAATTGAGAGACAAACAACTTTTTTAAAAAAAATTAATAAACTTCATAATAAAATGGCTCAATAAAATTTCAAATAAACTCTCAAATCATTAAACTATCATAATAAATGAAAATATCACTTGATTTCAAGAAAACACCTAAATGAAATAAATATTTATAAACAAATTACTAAATAAAAACTAATGGTATAAAAAAATCATCAAATACTTGGATTCATAATTATAAGGACTTATCAGAACAATTAACAAACGTGGAAACACAGTCCACGAGGGTAAATAACCAAACGCAGCCAAAGCCACGAAACAAATGTGAACACACAGTCCACGAGGGTATATAACCAAACGCAGCCGAAGCTACGAAACAAACGTGAACACACAGTCCACGAGGGTATGTAACCAAACGTAGCCGAAGCCACGAAACAAACGTGAACACACAGTCCACGAGGATATGTAACCAAACGCAGCCGAAGCCACGAAACAAACGTGAGTACGATGCTCACGAATAACCATCCCTCCGTTCCACGTGCGTTGGCCATCGCATGGGGCTAGCACCTCCTATACACACCCTGCTAGCTAGGTGTACCATAGCGCGCCAAGGGCTAACGGAACTGCCGTTAGCAACCAGTGTTCTGTATACAGTCCCTTTTTAAAACCATTTTCAAACATGCAAGAAAATCATCACTTTCAAGATACAGTTCTCATTCTCAAATTCAAACTTGCATGAATACTTTTAAGCATTGAAACTTTCCAGAATAAAATTTCATATCCAACGCTCATGCTTGCCTTTATCAAATAATCAAAAACTTTTCAAAGTTGAACTCGCAAGAATCATTCTCTGTATCAATCTAATATTTGATAAAATAAAAATCTCACAATCAAAGTCCAAACTTGATTTAATTGATCAAATAACATTTCAAATTTGATAAAGCTAATTTCTCAAAATAAAGTAAAGTTAATCAACAAATATCCAATAATTGCATTAATGCTATTAAAATGATTTCCAGAAAAATGTAATATTTTACTAAAGAAAATTTTAATTAAAAAAAAAATCAGTTGGGACGCTATCCACTTACCTTTAGTATGCCCAAGAACCAAAATTTATTTCTTTCGACTTCATCCATGTCTCCCTTCCTCTAAACACCCTATTCAAAGTGATAAACAATTTAATGGCCTCACTCTAGCCAAATAAATTATCTTCCAATATTGATAACACTATAACCAATCGAACTCTAAATCCTTATAATTTAGTCAACCCAATCTCAGTTTCTTTAATCCTTTCAATACTTTACATGTCTACCTTTCTAAGTCTACCTTTCTATTTGACACTTTGATTAGATTTTAATCTGCCTTTCAATTTTTATACTAAATTTTAATCAAGTGTGAGTGTGTGAGTATATAAATTTTTTTTTATTAATCACAGTATAACCATCACATATAATTTACCACAATAATCAAGATTTCTCCCTTACAATGACAAATTGCTTAAAGCATGATTGCCATTCAAAATAAGCTTTCTAATCCTCAATTCAAACTTACTTCAACACTATTCCTATCCTTGCTTATGCACAGCCACAGAACAAATGGAAAAGAACAAATTTTTATTCACTCCAATATCTATGTATAAACTGGCCGAGGAAAAGAAGACAGGTGGTATTCACCCATCTATGGAGCATATGAGAATTTAAAAAGGGCAGACTCGAAATTTTTGTCCAGCCTCATGAGCACGGCAGTGACACCAAATACAGGGGAGAATGACCGACAATCAATGAAGTTTAAGATTGAAGTTTGAACAACCAACAACAGTAAAGAATAAGAGAAGCTGAACTTACCACACACACATACTCGACACTCATGCTGAGAAGAACAAGGAAATTGAAAGCTGAGAACACACGCACAACACGAGCTCACACGACCAGCAAACAAGAAAGTAGAGGAAAACAGAAATCATGCAGCTCAGCACTTCAAGTTGACGGCGTAGACGGAGAATCTATGGTGAAGATCCAGGACGCACACCGACGGCAAGAATCAGAGAAACAAGTCAGAAATGAAGAGGAAATGGTGAAGCGAAAACCAGATGCTCTCTCTCTCCTCGGGCTCTCACTCCTTTACCAGAACAAAGACAGCACGAACAGGGGAAGATGTGGAAGAATCCGGCGGCCTTCAGCAGCAAAAGATCTCCTACTTCACACAAACACTAGCAACAAACAGACGAGAGAGGATGAAAAAGAATCCAGCAGCACACAAACATTCACAGCAAGACGCGAACAAGAACGGCGAAGGCAGAGCAACGTGTGAGGAAGACCGAGATAGGGAGCACGACTGAGGACCTGGGCATCACATGGAGGTGCTGAGCTCCCACTTCGCTGGCAGCGCTGGAGATGGTAGCCGAAGAAGAAGAAACCGGGAGAAAGTGGAGAGTTCTAGACTTCTCTTATCTACTTCCAGAATCGTGATTGGAAGAGAAAAGGAAACATGCTGGGAAAGAAAAAAAGAATCGCGAGCTCTCTCTCTTCTGTGCACACCACCGACTAAGAAGGTCCAAATAATATTTCATGGAAAAATTTACAAAACAAGACCCAAAGTTTAATGAGAAAATTTCAAAAGAAAACCCTATCAATTTTCAATTTTTTTTATTATTATAATATTTCTATAATAAAAGTAAGGACTCTTTAATATTTTTTTATTTTTTTTCATAAAAAATAAACTAACATTTGGCTAACATAAAATTTGAACTCTAATCCTCTATATAAATATCCAGTATAAATTCTAATATATCATTGCTCATTCTTTATCATAAAATTAAAATTAATTAATTATCAATTGAAAGGGAATTTATTTAATTTAAAATTTAGAGTCATTACATAATGCAAGAAGGGATACCTAATCAAGTTGCATGATAGAGAGGAAGTAGTGCATGGCGCTGTCGAGGAGGGTGCAATAGAGGGAGGCAAGTTGATGGAGTAATCAACAAGGTGCTTATGGGCATATGGTGATTTTGACTGTGACCTGTGGGGGCTGAAGCCTTTTCAAGAATAGGTGGTGAAGCAACTAGATGTTGTAGAGTTCACCTCGTGCATCCTCATGCACGTCGGAAGGCGGTGAGTCGTGACTCCCATGTATCTATGAAGAGGCCTCAATAGGTGGCATGGTAGGTATTGGGTCATCATTGTCAATAAGGTCAAGGGGTACTGGTAGAGAGACAGAGGGCAATGCTAGGTTCTCATGCGCATATGGGAAAGATGACTCGATGAAGATGACATCTTGAGAGATAAAGCAGCCACCAATACTAGGATCAAAAGTTTGCAGCCTTTTTGTCTATGAAGATAATCAACAGAGATGCAAACTCTCCCTCTTTCATTAAATTTATGAGTTCAATGAGTGGTACGAGCATATGTAAGACAACTAGATACCCATAAATGTGTATAGGTAGGTAAACGACCATATAGAACCTCATAAGGTGTTCAATTTGCAAGCACCTTTACTGGTAATCTGTTAATAATGTAAGTCGCAATGAGGATACTTTCTCCCCATAATTTTAATGGTAGCTTCGCCTGAAAACATAAGGCATGTGCAACCTTAAGGAGGTGATGATGCTTTAAGGGGTATGCGCACATGTTGTCAGAAGAAGAATCCCATGACTTGAATAGAAATCCATCATGGACCCAGATTGAAATTCAACCCCATTATCTATTCTGATTTGTTTGGCGGTGTGCCCAAATTGAGTCTAAACGATCTTGAGGAACATGGGGAGATAATGACCCACATCAAATTTTTATTTCATCAATTAAACCCAAGTTTCCCTCCTATAATCATCCACAATAGTAAGGAAATAATGAGCCCCTGTAAGTGACGGCACCCTATAACCACCCCATATATCATAGTGTATCAACTCAAAATAAGAATTACTTTTTTATTGAATTGGTGCCAAAAGGTAAATGAGTCTATTTGGCTCTTATATAAGAATCATAAAACTCAACATTTTTATTCTCTATTAAACTAGAACATAAAGAGAGAAACTTCAAGTTCTCAGTAGAAGTGTGCCCCAATCGGAGATACCACAGATCATGATCCTTAACCTCTTTAACAACCATTGCCACGCCCTCCTGCCTCAAAGATGTTAAGAAGTAAAGCCCTTCCATGCACTTACCTACTCCAATTAGGCTCCTCGTATTCAAGTCCTGAATCACACAAAAGTCAGTAAAGAAAATCACGACACAATTAAATTCCTTGGCAAACTTGCTCACAGAAAATAGATTGCACTTAAAGTTAGTAATATATAGCGCATCATTCAACTTCAAACTTGGTGAAATCACCACATGGCCCATTCCTTTGACTAGCACAACTTGACCATTAGGAATTTTGACGGGTGGCATTGTGGATGCTTGTAAATTTATCATTTGAGCTGGCTCATGAGTTATATGGATAGAGGCTCCTATATCAATAATCCACAGCCCATTAGTCATATTGATACCTACCATGTTAACTGATGGTTGGGCTTATTCCTTAGCATCAAGATTTAAACACTGTAAGAGCTTTGAATATTGTTCCAGTGTAAGTCTAGGTATTGGGCTTGCTTCACCACTGACTTGTGCTACCTCTGGTGGTCCATTGCGTTTATCTTGTCGATCACGGCCTCCCTTCTTCCAATCTGGCGAATATCCAATGAGCTCATAGCACTTGTCTTCGGTATGACCCAACTTGTTACAGTGATTGCACTTAAGTTTATCTCACCATCCTTCCCTTCAATCTCCTCTATCACTGTGCACTTGGAAGGCCGAGATCTCCACAACAGGTTTATGGGTTGTTGAGATCTGTTTTTGCTGTTCAATGGCTTAGGTTTGAGGAGTCCAATGCAAGCATTGGGATGGAATAGTCAGTGAAACCAATCTTGTGTTTGGCGAACAAAGCATTGCTCATGTCATTCACCCATTGTCCATAGTTGCTTTCATGGGGAAGTTCTCCAACATACACTTGCCCTGGGTTGTCTGATGCATGAATGTAGTATGGTGATTGCACATCCAAACCTTCAACTTGTGTTTCTTTAGAAGTGCCGGCTTTCTCCATAATAGGACCCTAGGTTTGTCAGAGGTTATTTTCAGACCTCCGCTCTGATACCATGAAAGATTTTGAAGCAATCTGGATATTCATGAAAGCAACAGTGTACATATATACATGCATGCACGTATCGTGATCCCTACAATCACGCTAAATTAATAAATGACAATGAATAATATTCTATTCTACCTATAATTCCTCCTACGAATACGGTGACAGCATATTTATAGGATCATCAAATCTTGATTGATCCTAACATGAAATTCCTTTTAAAAATAAAAATAATAGTATCCCTGATATGTTTAACACAATCCAATTTTCTAAACCCATAACTTTGAATTTTTACGTCATTAAAAGTTGTTACACGCGCAGGCTTCTACAAAAAAGTCAATTAATTTATTTTATATAATTACTTATATATAGATAATGATTACAATCTCAAAATAACGTAAAGTTGTGGCTATGAATTGATGGGGACCATGTGATATTTGTAACATGAAAAATAGAAAGTTTCAACTCTACTTGGGCATACATCATTCATGTTCTATTTATAAAAATCCGCCACCTTATATACAATGGACCCATCCACGTGTTTTATTAACGTCTTTTTAATTTTTCCTTTTTTATTTTACAAAAAAATAATTTGAACTAAATAATTATTTAATATTTACGGTAGAAAAAATTAAAATTTTAAAAAGTCAATTACCTTGGCACTCCAAGGGTAATTATGATTTTCTTAATTCTTTTCATTTTAAAACTTTTACAAAGACAAAAGAATAAATTTAAATGTTCATATATGGACATTATAAAGACATGAGCTGTTGTTACATTACTCTTATAGGATGAAATGAGTAGTAGTTGGTTTTTTTTCCCCTTGGCCCTTTTCCCTCTACTTAATGGGAAAATCACACTGAAGTCCTATGGAAAGATTATAATTACCAAAGAGTCCCAAAAAACGTAAAAATAATTCTAAAGTCCCATGGGCTTTGATGGGAAATAAACTTTTACATCCATTTATTAAAATGCCCTTATTTAAAACCAATACCAAGCAAACCTGCAGTTCTTCCTTCAAACATAGTTTCGAGATCCAGATCAGTTGGGTGTGGAAGCAATTGCTTCTTCAGCAATTTCTTCAAGAGAATCTCCACCAAAACTAAGGTGTAGTAGTGAAATCACTCGGCACACTAGACTGGCCATTCTTACTGGATTGAAGAATTATTTTTGTCTCCAGTTTGCAGTCAATGCTATAGCAGTATGTGCGGAACAATTGGAAACAAACACAAAGAAATGAACATTGGAAATCGGAAGCGAAAGACAATTGGGGAAAGGAAAAATTCCAGATTCCAGAATAGAAGGGTTTTAGTTCTGGGGAGGCTTATGGGATTGGGATGGGACAAAGGCTTTTGAATATTGAGGAAATTAAAGTCTACAGTCAACCTCCCTTTGAGCACCAAGAAGGTAATTATAATATTACATAATATATAATATCATAACAATGACAATCCCAATTCCGTTTTGCTGGAGTCTTTCAAACATCTACTTGTAAAAAGTCAAATTTGAACATGTCAAACGGAAACTATTTGGGTGTGGGCAAATTGAATGATAGCTATGCATAAAGTTGGAAGCTTCCCGATGGTTAACAATGATGATAGAGGAAAATGATGTAGCTTCCAGACACAGGAGCTTCTCTGGTGATTTCTTCCACACCCAGCAAATTTGGATCTTGAAACTTTGTGTTCGGAGCAAGTAGAGGCTTGCTTGCTACTGGGTTTAAATATAAATGCATATTAAAATTTTTTTTGCCATTAAAACCATTGGGGCTTTAGAATTGCTTTTACATTTCGTGAGTTTCCTTGGTAATTAGAATCTTTCTGTGGGATCTCAATGTGATTTTCCCTTAACATGTGGTCTCGTTAAAATATGATGTACATCTTTTTCTCTGCTAAGATAAGTATACTTAACAATTTCTCACTTCAACTATACCTAAAAAAAAAATCCAAGAAAGTTTTCTAATGCTTTATACCACACTATTAATTAGCAAGAGTACATGTTTTTCAAATAAGTAAAACACTTTTAGTTTTTTTTTTGTTCTAGCATACATGTATATTTTTCTAAATATAATAGGGGTAGGCTAAGCTGACAACATAAAATATCTCTCAAAAGATACTTCAGAGCAAATATTTTTTTTTAAATATAAGGTAGTCCACTAACAGTGGAGAATATCTTCTCGAGGTACTAAGAGCAATAGGTAGACTTTTTCTAACCTTTTCTAACTAAATTGCTACATTTGCAAGGGTTGGCGTTCGACCCTCCAATCACTTGCTTAAGTGACAAGAGCTTCTATTACTCACACTAACTTTTGTTGATGTGTGTGAGTGTGTTATATGCAAACAATATTACATGCTTTATTTTTCTGTCAAAGTCCACTTAGTTATAATTATCAAATTCATATGTATAATATGTATATTATATGCATAACAGAAATATTTAAGTTTTTGCATTAGTTAGATAACTGTGGTTTTTTATTTAAAAAATTTATTAATTTCCTATTAAATAAGTATTAAACAAATTCAACATAAAAAATTCAATTTTAAAACAAATCTTCTATATATAGCCATGGCATCTCAAGGGTAGTTAATGATTTCCTCAATTTTGACAATTTTAAAAACTAATGTTTATGCAAGATTAATTAGCATAACAAATATTAAGTTTTTGGATTAGTAAGACACGTGTATAGTTCTTTTATGTTATTCAAGCAGCATTGCCTGTTTTTCAATATTTTCAACATTTCAACACTTGCGTCTTGATCAGAATTCCCTCTCTAGCCTTCTTCCATCATGTTTAGGAATTAGCCTTTCCAACTTGAAGATATTAAGGCTGAAGTGGAATAAAGTAAATGGACAAATTCCAAATAGCATATCAAATGCTGCTAATCTTGTTTTGTTCGATTTGTCATCGAATAAATTTAGTGGGGTTATACCCATTGTATTTGGAAATCTAACAAAATTGATGGCATTATCTATAAAAGGAATGATTTGAATGGGTTGATTCCTAATACAGTTAGCAAATTACATAGCCTCCAATTATTAAGTCTCAACAACAACAGATTACAAGGGTCCATTATAGATGGACTTTGCCCACTCAAAAGTTTAAGTGAGTTGTAGCTTTCCAACATGTTTTTGGGAGTGGTTCCAGGATGCCTCCTCCAGAATACTTCTCTATGAAAGTTGGATCTTAGCTCTAATAAATTGAATTCTCATATACCCTCTTCTCTTTGGAATCTCATAGATATCTTCATCTTAGACATATCCTCCAATGCAATGAGTGGGACAATTTCACGAAAGATATCAAACTTGAGAGCAATTATAATATTGAACTTTGAAGAAATCAAATTTCAAGAAGCATCCCTACAACTATGGGTGGTCTGCAAACTTTGAAAACACTATCTTTGGCCCAAACCAAATTACAAGGGTCTATTCCTAATTCTCTTGCAGTAGTGGATCTTTCCCATAATTATCTGTTTGGTATGATTCCAAAGTCCTTAGAATCAGTAGTCTATATTAATTACTTTTTCCCATAATTATTATTTCCTATAATTTTATTGCATGGACAAATTCCAAGTGGGCCTTTTCAAAATTTTGTCGTCTGATATGAAGGAAAAGAAATAAGAATATATAGAGTAAAATGATGTTGCTGATAAAACACTCACTACCTATCTTAGTTATCATTTTGGTTTTTCATGCAATGTCTTTCTAAAGCATAAGAGAGATGACGATAATTATTCAACAGAAAGGGAATTATGATTTTGGTTTTTCATGGAATGTCTTTCTAAAGCATAAGAGAGATGATGATAATTATTCAACAAAAAGGGATTTAATAAGCAACAATAGCAACAACAAGAGCTTTATCTCATTAGGTGGGGTCAACTATATGTATTGCATGGCTACATGGATTTAATAAGTAAGTGAAGCAAATTTGGTGTCAAAAATAAATACTGATATTTTATGAAAAATATAATCAAACATATATATTAAATTAATTTAAAACAAAAATTTATAAAATAGATTGCTTAATAAACAATATACTTTTCATAATCATTCTATTATAAAGTTATATTTTCAAATATAAGTGTTCTATATTTTAAAAAATTAAGGTTAAATAAATTTGTTTTGGGTGAGGACAAATGATTTTTTTTTTCTAGAGGGTGGCAAGTAATTTTTTAGGGGAGACTGTGTGTTATTTTTTTCCGCTTAACTAACCCTATCTTTGGACTTTTCTCATAAATTTCTCACAGGAGAGCTTACTTCTTCAATTTGCAATGCTACCTACCTTGAAGTTCTCAACTTGTCATACAACAATTTTAGTGGCCCTTCCACTTTGCATTGGGATATCTAGCCTAGCTCTTTCTGTGTTAGATTTGCAAAACAATAGCTTTTATGGCACTATACCAAAAACATTTGAGGTGGGAAACCATTTGAAGACCCTAAATCTTTATGACAATTTTTTGAATGGTTTGTTGCCCCAATCTTTGGTCCATTGCACAGAGTTAAAAGTCTTGGATATTGGTAGAAATGGCATTCATGATATATTTCCCCATTGGATTCAAGAACTTAAAGAATTACAAGTACTTGTTCTTAGAGAGAATAAGTTACATGGTTTTATCCCTAATTTAAATAACAAAGCCAACCATAACTTCACAAAGTTGAGAGTTTTTGACATATCCAACAACAACCTAAGTGGCCCTTTACCTGCAACATACTTCAAATCTTTTGATGCTATGAAAAATCAAGAGGGAGAAATTGCTTTAAAGTACATGGGTTATAATCAATCTGGTCTCCTTGGCCCGTATCTAGACTCCATTGAGATAACCTATAAAGGAAATAAAATTCATATGGAAAAGATCTTGACTATTTTCATATGCATTGATCTATCTAATAACATGTTTGAGGGAGAGATTCCAATATCTATTGGGTAGCTTAGACCATTGAAAGGGCTAAATTGTCTCATAATAGGCTCGTTGGTAAAATTCCAAACTCAATGGGAAATTTGAAAAGTTTGGAATGGTTAGACTTATCATTAAACCAACTCATTGGAAAAATTCCTATAGAGTTGACTAATCTCAACTTCCTATCTGTCTTAAACCTTTCACAAAACCAACTTGAAGGTTGCATACCTAGGGGCCAACAATTTGAAACTTCTATAGGTGATTCCTTTCAAGGAAACAAGCAATTGTGTGGTTTTCAACTAATGATTCCCTGCAACCCTAATAGGGAAAGACAACCATCACTACAAAGTTCAAGTTTTGAAGCTAGATTTGAATTTGGATGGAAACCTGTCTTGCTAGGATATGTATGTGGAGCCTTATTTGGATCAAAAATATTTTGGGTTGTGATATTTACTAATAAACCTTGTGATATTTGCTAATAAACCTCGATGGCTTGCAAGTTTCATTAATGATGCACCAAAGAAAAGGAGAAGGGTTAGAAACCTTGATTCATAGAAGCTACATTTTCCATGGAAGTTTCAAATTTTCTCTTCTATATAAAAGTTTCTTTTTTTTTTTATCTTTTTCCTTCTTGTTAAATGTTCAAGCTTTCATGTTTGTTTTTCTATATTTGTTACCAAAGTTGTGAGGAGATCAATGTCCATTTCTCTTTGTCATAGTAATCGCAAATCAAAGTGTTTTTCTCTTTTTTATAATAATTGCTTTTTGCTACAATAATTTCTTGAATGATTGTCTTTCTTCATAAATAAGAGATGAAATATATCAATAAGTTAGATTATTTGGTTCTTTAAATCTTGATTAAGTTGATTAAGGGTTATAATAAAAAACATAATAAAAAGAGAAAAATGCAATATACATGTTCAATCAGTTTTCTTCTGCTATAGGATGTGTGTGTGTGTGTGTTAATATACTCATAATTATAATGTTGAGTGTGTGTGTGTGTGTGTGTTGGAAACTATCGAAATAAAATTATTAGAGAATAGTAGAGTGAATATGTGCGCATTCATCATGATGGCTTCCTTGCTAGAAATAAAATTGAATTGATGATTCCAGTCCTTGTTTTACGTCGATGATAATGAAAAAGAGATGGACAATCTTGATAATTAAGATTGTTAAACTTCCCAAGAATGTTTCGTCCATCCACAAAAGCAGATGTCTTCCTGAAAAATATAATAACAAATTAAAGATGGGAATGGAAGGGGGCAAATTTTGAAATTTGGCCCAAAAAAAAACTTGAAATGGAAATGAATTCATTGAATGGAGGAAATCATGTTTGGAAATGAACAATGAGTCTGTAATAATAACAAATGGTTTTACTTATATATATATATATGTGTTATAAATTATAAATATAAACATTATGTGTGGATGTCCATCTCCCCATGTCATAATTATGAGTGTTCATCTCCTCATATTATCCACATTACTCAAATGTTGTAACTCATGAGATTCTTGAGTTTCATCTTCCACATAGAATAGATGTCTTCTTTATGATACATTATTTCACAATCAATTGTTGAGACCATTGAGATGCAAGTGTTTGCCTATATATATGGCATCTTATTTGCATTGCAAGTTTGAAAGAGAATACAAGAGAAGTCATCCTCATTTCTTTTGCCTCTATGCGGCTCCCCCTCCTCTTTCTTCTCATTTCTATTCTCTTTATTTTATTCATAAAATATTGAAATTTTAAATATTTTTTTTACTTTTTTGGTTCATGTTCTTCTTTCTCATTGGTTATTAAAAAATTAAATAACAAGGGAACCTGAGAGCAGCATGAGCCCATTAATTAAAAGTTGCGTTATACAGATTACATTATTGCTGTCAGATAACAAATTACATTGCGAAAAAAAAAATATATATATATATATAGAATCAAACTGTTGTGACTTGTTAAAATGAACCAAGGCATCCTGATAAGTTGTTTGCGTAATCTGTGGAATTAAATTACGGCATCTACATCTTCCTGGGTCTTCATATGGCAAAAGAGCAAGTAATTATCGTGGGGCCTATAAACATATGGAAGACTTGATTCTGGCGATGAATATATAGGGTATGTCAGACTTAATTTAGTTGGTTCAAGAGAATTTAGTGACTAATATTTGACATTTAGGTAAAATAACGTGGGGCCGTTGATGATGCTTTTCTAGTGTTCATTAATAATTCCATTGAAGATCTTAGCAATCTAAGATTCAACAAACAAAAGTCCTTTCATTAGTATAGAAGAACCTAAATCTTACATTTTACCACAGCACTTATTACTGTATTGTCTTTTCATCATCTTTGCAAAAGTTTAATCATCTTTTTTTGATTCTGAAGGATTAGTGATATGTGAGTTGGTTGATGCAATGAACGAGCTCATGGAGAACTAGTTTTGAGGTAGGAATAACAACTTAATGTATTTCAGTTAATATATTTGCTTTGTATTATCTAAATAATTTTCATTTAGCATAAAAAATGTCATTTTGAGCCTATACTGGGAGGGCTGTTCCAAGATGCTAAAGACTCATATTAAGAGTAAGTGAAAGAGTTATTATATATCTTTGAGTTGTTTGTGATGTGAGCTTTTGGACATTCAATAACTTACTCTTGTTCAGATCCAAATGACGCCACGTTTCTGAAACTGGTTCAATGGCATATTGTATCTGTGCATCATATTATACATACTATAGTGACAGCATCTTTGGGTCCATTACATATCATACCTGAAAAAGTTTAAAATCAAAAGGGAAATCATCCACTTTGTTAACGCCATAGCTATTAACCTTTCAAGTTATTATGTAATTTTGGAACTTATTTATATTATGAACCCCAAAGCATGTTGACATGAATCTTTCATCAATTCATTCATTATGCTGACTGATCATAGATTAAGATTTATGTATAAATAGTATTTTTATTTTAAATTATATGCTATTTTTATGAGCTTCCACCATAAGATTTTTTCCACCATGATGTACTCTATTTATCTCTGTTTTTTGGGAATAGAAAACAGTGCTAAACCAAGCCATGCTGTAGAATCATGTGTTTTTTGTATTAATTAACAATTAAATATAATATTGTGCTGGGAGGAATTTTCTTACTTTTATTTATAGGTTTTGTGCAAGGAGGTGAAACGTTTACTTTTTTACTTTTAAGCAATGCTCAACCATTAATTGTAGCAAAGGTGTATAAAAGACTACCCAGTTACTAGTTGATTTATATATATATATATATATATGCATATATATGGGTTAGTAGTTGAATTTTGATGTGGTACCTTTTGTGCCTTTCGATATTATCAATGATGTGGAAAGAAATATTTGGAATGGTATGCTTGCATTTGTGTGCTACCTCCCCCACCGCCCCTTTGCTATGAGGTGAAGATAAACCACATAAAGAGTCCAAGTATGAATAAGGCCCTCAAGGTCCAACTTTGAAGAAGGATCATTCACACATGCATATATGGTTTCTGCAAACACACTGAATAAATGAATGTGCCGTAGCTTTCAATGTCTTGGTTGCTTCATACAATTTATTAATATATTGATCTACGTAATAACAAATTAATTTTGTTATTTACATGTTATGAACATGAATAGTATGACCATTGAAACATTCCCGGTAGTTCATTTTAGAGACAAAATCACCAACCCAGGATTTTAGAAAGCTTGAATAGAAATTTGTTCATTTTGATAGCCAGTGTCGCACAAAAGACGAAATCACCAACCCAGGTTTTTTTAAATCAAGATTTGCTTTGTTATCATGTATAGTTTCGGTTTTTATTTTTTCCTTTTTTTTTCGTTTTTCTTTTCTTTTTTTTTTTTGTATATGGAGTTTTTCAAAGTAGAGGAAGGAACTGATAGATAATTGAATGTTCAGTCACGATTTTTTTTTTTTTGTGCAACGATTTCTTTTTCAAAGAGGAAGGAATTGGTTTTTTGTTTTTGTTTCTTTTGCATATTATCTTCTCTGTGTATTTATTCAAGGCTATCATTTTTAATCTTTTTTTGAAAAAGAAAGCACACTTAGGAGGAGTCTTTCACGTTCCCTCTCCGAATATAAGAACATATATTAATTAATATTTCATGATGCTAGAAATGAAAAGAAAATATAATAAATACTATGTATAATCTTTTAGATAAAAACAATCTCGAATAATGCTTCAAATGAAACCCAGCAATAAAATTTTCTGAATCCAATAATCGTCAGGACTTCATATCATGGTTCACGGGATATATTTATTTTTAATGAACTTTTTGTTCATTTTTATTCCAAAAAAAAAAAAAGGAGAAGAACTTGAGCTTCATGAGCCCATTGGAATTTCAAACTAGTGGACCTGACCTCTTCCATAATCCCATTTAAAAAGTGAGATACTTGGAAGTTGAAACTCGAATTTGAGTCCCAATGTTTGGGATTTAATTTAATCAAGTTTATTATTATTCGACTCGTTAGAGATTAAAAATTTTAACTTGTGTATCTATGTTAATTATCTTATAAACGAATAAAATCACATGTCTCGCTCTTGATAAAGATGCATTTAATTGATATTGAAAAGATGATGGCATTTAATTGAGGTTTAATTTGGAAAGAAGGAATAAATTTTTAGACATCAACTTGTTAAATGTAGCTGTTTTCTTAATATTTGTATTTAGATAAATTGGATAGCTTATACTTGAAGTCGAGCATTACCATTCCTACTTAGAAATCAATTGAAGGGTATAGACACATCAATAAGTGTCACGCCTTGAAAATATAAAGTGACTGGCACAGGGTTTGAACTGTATTATACATCCCTGTAAACCTTAACTTGTAAGTTCATTCCATATTTAAAATGTAATTAGGTTTATATTGAATTTCAACAATCTTGATATTATTCACTATAATAAAAGCTTCATAATTTTTTTTATAAAAATTTTGGCAGAACCTCCCTCGTAAATAGGATCTCTTAAAAATTCTACAATATAAAAATGTTTACAAAATATTATATTAATCACGAGCTTAGCTCTTTTCAATCAACAGAGAGCATATATATTTATATCAAATAGAAACCCTAGCCATAGCCTATGTAGAGCCCCTAATCATACTTTTTGAAATAAAAATACACAAATGTTTATAATTACATCAAAAGGAGGGATCTCACTTAATCTTTTGCCCAGCACGCTAAAAGTTCTCAAGAATTAGCAGGAGGATCAACTTCAATTAATGATTCTAAGACCAAAATAAATTTTAAGTGAATAGCATCCTAAAAATATATAATTAAATATGTATAAAAGGAAAGTTTAAAATAATTATGTGTGCTAGAGATAACAATTTTTGCAAACAAATGTTTAATAAACTTTAGAATAAAAGGGCTCTAT